ATAACTTTCCCATTTGTCTCTTCAAAGGTACAAAATATAACATATGCATAGACAGCAAAATCAAATAAACATCTGCTTTTAAAGATAAAATAAGTTATGTAGCATTTAAAGTATTTCCTTACCTGTATATTTGTTCATAGGAGATAGGGATGTAGTCACCAGGACTCTGAGTTAAAAGCTGATCTATGGCACTGTCCAACTTTGGCCAATATGTGCTCTTATAGTCTTCAATTGTTATAACATTCATTACTGCAAGAAAAAGACAAGAATAGATTTAGTAACTTCACCTAAAAGATTAGAAACAAGTGAATGTTCTATGATTTAAGATCACACCAAGGACAAGGCCAAAAAACCTGGGAACAGCTCACTTCCACCAAAATAACCTCATCTAAAACTAAAGCCTTGAATTTGTACCTTTGTATTTACAGAAAATAAAATCAGAACACCTGCAAAATCAGCGCTTTGGTATATCCCTGGGGTCTAAGTAAAGCAAGCTCCTGGGAGTTCTAACATGAAAGTATAAGAATAAAAATTTATAAAAAGATTAGTTCAGACTAATAAATTATGTAACTTTGTGGCAGTTCAGAATTAATTATTAACATGGCATCTTCACATTGAGGAGACCAAGCTCTGGCCAAGACTGGTAGGTTTTTGAATATTCCTTCCCAACAGATGTATTAATTTCACAAGTCTCAGGTGGGACCAGCAACTTTCTTGGTCTAAAAGATGATGCAATTCCCTCTACCTTCAACTGCAGTTAGGCTTCCAGGCAACTTTTCTGAATCTGCATTACAGTTCCCCTCTAGCAGGGACAATTACACTTCTTTTGCAGATAAAGATCACCACAGGGAAGAATAGGAAGTGTTTAAATTAGCGTTCCCCACTGCTCCCTGACCTTCCTCCTGAGCTTCCCAGCTGCACCCTCTTGCCCCAGTGACTCAGGGCACCTTCATAGCCAGAGAAGGGTTTGGATCTCTCTCTTTTCAGGGAGGATTTCTGAACCAACCACTCGTGGTGGCTCGGTTCCAACAGGTTCACTCCTTCCCCTCAGGGCCTTACAGCATTTCCTCGCTGCTTTGTCACACCACCACAGCTTCACAGCACCCACTCATAAAAGCCCTCAGCTACCACCAGCACCTCAATCAAATCTATGGTTTAAATTCAAGCAATAAAATCTAATCAAATCTATCAAAACAAAAAAGGGTCAACTCTATCCAGCCTTGGAAATCTAGAAGAATTTTTTCATTTGAACTCCACATGTGGGTCTGGCCTAAATGGAACAGAGAATAAAGATACTTCTCACACCACACAGACCCTTTTAGATACAATACTGAAAAGAAATATATTGGTTAGCAATGAATTTTAAATATACATTTAAATGTATATTCACTGATGGGTTTGAGAAGCAGTATTTTTGAAAGGTATTTTCAAAGGAGTTGAAAGGAGCTGGGTGAGTGAGTCACTTTTGGCAGCATTATAAAGAACAATTGTAAGGAAATTGGCAAAATAGTTATGAGTATCATGAGGAAAATAGAAGATTGTAAAGAGAACATGGAATAGAGAGAGGTGTGAGACATGGACTGTTGGAACTCTATCTGTACGAGCAAGTATTACAGATTTCTTTATGTGTCATGTTAGGTATTTCAGCCAGAAATTTTGCTTAGAGAAGGATGTTAGAGCAGCATCCCTGGCTCCTCTTCATCCAGCTGTAGCCACTGGTGCCCTCCTGCTTCAGAGCTGTTACAGAATCAGCTCTGGTTAACCTGAAAGCGTCTGAGCAGTGACCAGGTCCCCACTACCAAGCGCTGCAGGACACTGCCCCAGGAGCCCAGGCTGCAGTCTGAAAGGACATGACTGTTTGCTGCCGAGAGAGTCAGGGGCACAGGGCTGCCTACACAACCACCAGCATTTCAGTTAACAAGTCCAACAAGTCAGCTCCTCCATGGAAAAGCACCCCTTGCAGTAAACTCAGCCCCTGTTCCTTGCCTTGCAGTGCCTTGTTTGAGTTCACATCCCTTACAGAGCCCACACTCCAGGCAGATGTCCTCAGCAGCAGCTCCACACAGCATCTTCACTATTCCTGCTCACACTCAGCAGCAGAACCTGAGCTTTTGTTTTTCATTTTGCTACCCTAAAAAAGATGGGCCTCCATAGAACCACTCTGTTCCACATAAAATATTGAGCTGAAGTCAGCATAAACATTAAACCAAGTCTTGCTTTTAAGATGTCAATGTATAATCACGCCCACATCTGGTTTAACATATTAAATGAGCCCTATTAATTTGAAAGAAAATAGTCAAGTAAGATTTGGGAACACTGCAAAATAATTTTAACAGGCAGTTGAGATGTTAATCTTTTTAAATTTTTTTTTATAATATGGAAAAAGAGAGCAGCAGCAGACAGGAAGGTCTGCCCATTAGACATGCTGCACAGGTAAAGGACAAAATGCTTTTACAAAAAGCCCTGTGAGACTTGCACAGAGAAGACTGCATAGAAAATTTACTGATAAATTCACAGTAACATTTCAGAAAAGCTTCATCCTCATTCAGAAGTCTCTTACAAGTACTAAGTAATTTGATTTCCACACTTCAGTTCTGAAACTAAGCCAACGACAATATTTACATAGCTAAAAGTCCAAGACTACAAACTGAACAATCACTACTTTTGTTCTTCTAATTCAGAAAACAAAGTGCTTTAAAATTTTAATACTTATCAGAAGTTAGCAATGCCCTTTTTCTCCTGGCAGCTCTTACACACACAGAAGTGAAGGGTGGCCCGAAGACCCTCCAACTACAAACTGTGCAAGAACAAGGTCGAGACCAGCAATGAAGGAATCACACAGATCCTTAGCAAGGAAAGATAGATTGCCCTTTAATTTTTTATTTTTCTCTCTTTTTAGGATGTCACAATTAAATGCTTATCCCTACATTAGGTGTTCAAGATTTAAAAGGATTTGCCCAACAGTTTCCACTCCCAAACTGCAATTTAGTTGGTTTCTGGGAAGTCACACTGATATTTTGTAAGAAAGCAGGATAAAATGCTGGACTTTATCCAACTCCAGCAAGACTGGGGAGGTGGTGCTGGGAGAGAAATCTGTCCAATAGAATTGAAAGAAGTCAGTATTTTTCAGAGAATTCAGCATTTTCCAGAAAATTATTAAAGACTTCACAAGTAAATCACGAGCAACAACTGCTGCTTTTCCATACAAAAAAAGTTCAAAAGGAAAACTTTAAGTGAAATGCAGCAGTGAAACCATTTCAGTAAAAAAGAATATGCATGAGCTATCATAACCTAGATACATCAGTATTACAGATATAATGGAAACACAGTCTGCTTCAACCTACCAAATTCTTTGGTACCAACTGCAATAAAAGGAATGGCAAAATCCACTTTAAAAAAAAAAAACACCATCACACAACACACACTCACTTTTTCAAATCTGTGCTAAAAACCAAGAGACAGAGCAGGATGGCTGATCCAACCTACTGCCAAGTATGCAGAGAGCAGTCTGACAATTATCTGTCATTTATTCTGACAATAAAAACAAAAGAAAGCAACTAAGCATCTTTCAGAAGCTTTATTTCATCTCGCCAAGTGAGACACACGAAACTTTACTGCTCAATTAGCAGTGCACCCTACAACCCTCAATATTTTGCCAAAGTGTACAAACTCTTCAGGCAGTTGTCCAAGAGTCATTTACAGACCATGGCCCTGTGCTTTCCTGTTTCTCAGTCCCCATGTGCATCTTTTCACAATAGACTTTGCTCTGCCGTCCTGCCTGACACATCCCAGAACACATTATCAAGTTTGAGTTTGCCCAGTGGTTGCTTCCAAGTCTGTTCTATTTTTATAACCTGTTTCTCAGCCTGCATTAAGGCTGGTTAGTAACTTTTTCTTCATCAGACCATTTGCCCACACAGCAATGCACACAAACTGCACTGAACAATGTGATGCAGATTTTGTGGCTATTCCAACGCACACAGCCACATGTGCCTGTCCCAAATGGCACTGGCATCAACAACATTTATAACCACCCTTTCTTCAAAAGGAGAAAAGAAACAAAATGGGAACTCTTCATTGTTCACCTCAACCAGGTTATGCTACAATTACTATTATGGAAGAGTTCTTAAAGTACTAAAAGTTCTTTGCCTTCTTTTCTCCCTCAGGAACTTTGAAAAATACTTCTCACAATACTACTGCTTTATAAATCCACAGCTATGACTGAAACTGATCAACTGTAAATATTTCATTTTAAGTTTACTACACCATAGAAGTTGTTTTCCCATCGAGTTTATTTAAGTAGAAGAAAAGCTATTAAAGAAAAACTATTAAATGAACTATGAATTATTCTAATTTTAGCTCTCAGTCTTACCAAAATCTCAAGGAAGGAGAACTGGATTTAGCCTCTTTGAAAGACAAGACTGATACCCTGTCCAGGACAGCCTCTGCATCATGAAGCAAGGCAGGAGTTGTTGCTCATCCAACTGCAGAACTGCCTTAGGCAGCAGAGAACAGACAACTTTTCCATCAAGCTTAGGACTGGCAAACTTCTCCACACATGTTCTGCCATTACTGGGACAGAACAGGCAGGAGGGATCCAGCACACACTGATTCCCTCCTAGGGAACATTTATATCCAAAGAGACCTTTCTCCCCTTTTCTATGGGTGAAAATTAAAGGTGATTAAGGGATCCTCTGTCAGAGCCAGGATAAGAACAGGCAGGAGCCCAACTCAGCTCCTTTAGGTTATCAGTCAATACTGCTTCACTGGACTTGCTCTGCTCACTTACATGTACACAGCTATCCAGAACACAAAGGTAGGGAAAAGTTCTAATCAACTTCACTTAGAGAATTCTCTGTTTTGCAGGGAAATAACAATAACAACAACAACAAAAAAAAAGTAAAATGTTGTGTTTGGATACCAGTGCTGGAGAAGTGAAGAACTTCAAAACCACACCCTAAGCAAAATCATGCTCTGCTGCTGCTTCTCTCTCTCAGACATAAATTGTGGATTAGCTGGAAAGTCATCTTCCCACTTGCTGGAGATCCAGCTTGAAAAGTATTTTCATTCTGAAACAAAAGGAAAAACTAAATTCTGAATGTCTGGAGTAGGACTTCAAGAGCCTAGTTTATCAAGGTCGAATGACACCTCATTTCAACTGTCTCCAGGGTTCAGAAGCCACCCCAAGGTACCTGGAGACCTGACAAGCAAGGCAGGCAAAGTGCCAGGAAACTCACAGAGCCTGGGAGTCTTAACTTCAAAGCAAACAGCCTTCGCCATGTACCACAAAACCCAGGCTTACCCGAGAAGCAGAAATCCAGAAGCCTGAACTTTGAGCTTTTGATCACCTCTGGACATGGACAGGTGAGAGAACACTGGGGAAAGCGGGAAGGCCACACAAAGTGTATTTCCCATCAAAATTTTATCATGGCAATCACACAGTTACACTTCCAGGAATGCTTCTAACTACCCAAATCCAAGTTTTCCAATGGTCCATGAGAAAAAAAAAGGTCTATTTTGCACAGAAAGGTGACTTTTGGAAAAAAAGTAGAACTGAAATGTACAGCAAAACATGCTCAATTCCCTCGATCTTAACTCAGAAAAAAATAGGGAAAAAATGCCATTTTTGTTAGAAACTACACACAAAAGCCATTTTGGAACCCCCAAGGCCAGGATGGATGGAGCTCTGAACAACCTGGTCTAGAGGAAGGTGTCCTTGCTCAAGCAAGGGGCTTGGAACAATATGGTCTTTAAGGTCCCTTCCAACCCAAACCATTCTCTGATGTTACAATTCTATTTTTGGGGCTATCTTGCATAAATTAACCCCGTGTCGTTCTGATCAGACCTTTGCAGATACTCAACCCCTCTGGGACAGCACGACCCTTCCAGCTGCCACCAGCAATCCCAAACAGGCCGGGATCCAATTTGGGAATCCCAAATCCAATTCACCTCTAGGTTTTTCAGGCTGAGAGACAAAGTTTATAGGAAAGTACGGTCTGAGGTAAAAGGTTTTAGAACCAGCAGGAGCCGAGCGCCCGGCTCTGCCAGAGCCGCAATCCCAAACATGCCGGGATCCAATTTGGGAATCCCAAACCCAATTCACCTCTAGGTTTTTCAGGCTGAGAGACAAAGTCTATAGGAAAGTACGGTGTGAGCTAAAAGGCTTCAGAACCAGCAGGAGCCGAGCGCCCGGCTCTGCCAGAGCCACATCCACCGTGACAGCAAAGCAGCAGTCGGGGCGCTGGGCGAGCAATGCTATTTTCACCTTCCGAGCAGCCTTAACCCGCTTGGCTTCGCTTGGAGAAGCCTCTGGAGGCGAGACCAAGGGAGGAAAGAGCGGAGCGGGGCAGCGGGTCCGGCAGCGCGGCCCTCCCGCCCCATCCCCATCCCCAGCCCCGGGTCACTCACGGAACTTGGAGGTGGAGGCGCTGATGTTGATGGCGGCGATGGCCCCGGCCGCCCCCGCCCTGCCGGCGGCAGCGCCCGGCTCGCAGCCGCGCAGCCCCGCGCCGTTCTGCTCGGGCCCCGCGGGCCGCGCCGGCAGCGCCCGCTCGCCGAGCAGGAGCCGCCCGTAGCCGCCCGCGCCCCAGTTGTTGTGGTTCTGGTCGTCCATCATGGCCTCGCCGCCGCCTTCCTCCTCCATGCTCTCCTCCTCCATGGCGGGCGCCGCGGGAGCGGGGCGGGATCAGCGCCCGCCGCCCGTCCCCATCGCCGCCGCCGCCGCCTCAGGCCCGGCGGGGCTCGGCGGGCTCGGCCCGGGCCCCAGCCCAGCTCCGGCCGCGCCGCGCAGCGCGACACTTGGCGCCGGGCGGAACGCGGCAGCCGCGCCGGGCGGCCCCGCGCGCGGGGCATGCTGGGGGATGTAGTCCGGCGGGGCGGGGCGCGGGGCCCGTTCCTGGCCGCGCCCGCGGTGCGCTGTTCCCGGTTCCCCGGGGCCAGGGAAGCGTTCTCGGGAGCGGGGAGGCTCCGGCACGGCCGGGCTGACAGCACCCCCTGGCGGGAGCGCGGCCGGGAAGGGCCCGCTGCGCGCTCGGGATGTCGCTGTCGCTCCCCCGCCCCTGGGCCGGACACAAACCTTCCTTAAGGGCCCCTTCAGCTGTGGGGAAGGAAACAAATGAGCCAGAGCAGGCCTGTGAATGTGCTGAAGCTCTAATCTGAGGTCTATGCGTGATGTGCCAAATCAGCTTTTGGACTCCAAGACCAAATTGTGACTGCTTGGGGTCTACCAAGACGGGAAATGCAGGGAAATGTCTGCTGATTTGAGCACAGCGTTGATGTTCAAAGTGTGGTTTTACATCTGAGGGAAACGCTCTTATTTCAAAAATGTACAATAAGGACATACTGTTTTCATCACTAGCCTTTATCAAAGCAACTTGAGATAGTCCCATGCTGCTGTGAAATCAGTGTCATCTTCTGCTTTTATAAAACAGAACGGTTTCACAGCCCAGCCTGTTCCAGGAGCTGTGAAGTGCCTGCACAGCGCTGCTCCTTCCATTCTCCTGTTAATAGGGGGAGTAACCTGCTTAAATAATGCATAAAGCCGTTTGTCTTGCAATAAACAATGTAACAAAGAAAAAGTATTTTTTGATATGCTCTTCGCCAAGAACTGTAGTTGTAGGACTACAGTTTGTAGTTACAGGACAAGGGGTAATGGATACAAATTGAAAGAGTGGAAATTTAGGTCAGATATTAGGAGGAAATTCTTTACTGTGTGTATGGTGAGACACTGGAACGGGTTGCCTATGGAAGTCATGGATTCCCCATCTCTGGCACCGTTCAAGGACATTTTGGATGAGCCTTGAGAAGCTTGGTCTAGTGAAAGATGTCCCTGTCCATGACAGCAAGGTTGTGGCTAGATGGTCTTTAAAGTCCCTCCAACCCCTTCACATTCCATGATCCTGTGATAATATTGCCTAGTGGCCTTCAAGTACACTTTAAGTTTTATTTTCATTTTCACCTGGGCACTGTGATGGAAGAATGAAGATGAGCAGTGGGTTTTTACTGAAAATAGATTTCCACTGTGTGGCTTTTGATCTTACTTGGCAAACAAAACAAGAAAGTGAAAAATGTAGATAAAATCAAAGGTGCCTTGCCTTCTTTCCAAAATATCTCATAAAAATTGAAAAGCATGTACTCTTTTTTCCAAGTAGAAACACTACGTTCTATTTTAGCCTGAAACAAAATTGTTCTGTTTTGTGAAAGCAGAAGATGCCACTGATTTCACAGAAGTGTGGAACCATCTCAAGCTGCTTTGATAAAGGCAAGTGATGAAAAGAGTTTGTCCCTGTTGCTCAGGGGGGCTTTGAACATTTTTGAAATAAGAGTGTTTTCCTCACATGTAAAATCACACCTTGAACATCAACGCTCTGCTCAAACCAGCAGACATTTCCCTCCATTTCCCATCTTGGTAAACCCCAAGCAATCACAATTTGGTCTCGGAGTCCAAAAGCTGATTTGGCACATCATGCACAGACCTCAGATTAGAGCTTCAGCAAATTCACAGGCCTCCTCTGGCTGCTGATTTTTTTCCACCTCCACCTTCCCCACACCTGGAAAGAGAACAGACAGGACATTTTTGTTCACTCTACTGCAATTTGTGTTTAGTGACTTGGATGTGCAAGGAAATGCAGGTATCAGTAGAGCCATTTATAATGGATGTTAAACTTGGAAAGCTAAAGCAGCAAACCATTTTCAGCTTAGGTAAGTGTTGTGGTTCTCAGATAACCACATAGAAAAATAAATGGTGTTTGCATATCTTCAGTGCTTCAAGGAAGGCATGTTTGTGTTCTCAGCCCTCAGAGCAACTCCACTGTAGCCTCCCACTCATCTGCTCTTGCTGATCTCAGGAGTGGGTCTCTGATTGTTTGCCAGTGTTTAAAAACATTGTGAGCTGAGGAGGAATCAGAAACTTACTCTTATCAGCAGAGTTTTATCTTTGTTTTACTAACTTCAATAGTGCTCATGCTAACATCTAAGAGCAGTGGACAAGGACAGCATTTTTCAGTTCTAGAATTACTGCTTTTCATTTTCAGTCCTAAAATGTCTTCTCTTCTTTTTCATACTTTCACTGCCCACACTTATTTCTGTTGCCATCTCTGTAATTTACTGAACAGCTGGGGGTCTGGTTTGGTTTGGTTTGGTTTGGTTTGGTTTGGTTTGGTTTGGTTTGGTTTGGTTTGGTTTGGTTTGGTTTGGTTTGGTTTGGTTTGGTGGCTGGGGGTTTTTGCCACAAAGGTATGTTGCCTTTAAAGGTACATTGCCCTTCTGATTCCTTTTCACAACGTTCCATTACTGTGACTACACTCACTGCACTTCCTTGTGGCAGGAATCCAAGAAGGCTTAGGAAATACTTCACCAAGCATTTCTCCTCCATCTCCTTGTGCAACGAGGCAGCTCATCTTACCAATCAAACAAGAAGCCCTTTCTTGCCTCCCATAAGGCAAAGAACAAGCTGCAACAGTCATCCATGGCTCACACTACTCAAAATACCTCTGCACACTGATAAAGGTGCTATCAAAGGGTTCATCACCGCTGCAGCACGTGTTTTTGCACTGAGACTTCTCTGCACCGCTTCGTTTTTCCTCGTCAGCATGTGAAAATCCGACTCAGGCTTTAAATACTTCCTTGGCAAAGTTACATTTTGAAATATCATAACTATAATTATTTTCGCTGTTAGCTGAGAATACCACATAAGAATTCAATTCTGACAAGACCTGAGGATCCTCACGTCTCTGTAACATCCCCAGAGACTTGAGGCTTGTCTCTGTTATAACTAGCTCGTCGGTAGAGTGCAGCAATCTTGATGACAAAGTAACATGCAGATGTCACACTTTCATTTCAGTCTCCAGGATCTGCATATAATTACCCAGACAAGTATCACAAGGATTTGTTACATCTTCATCATAATTTTTTTTTTTTTTCTTTTTTTTGGGGAGCTCACAACTTTTGATAACCAGGTCACAGCCACAAGCTTTGCTACAAATTGAGATTTCTTAACAGTACCTGTCCATGGAAAGTGTGAGGCATTAAAGAAATATTTTCTACACAGGACTTCACAGAATGAGACTACAACGAAGCTTTTCATTCCAGGTTCTCAGAAGCAGACTGGGACAATTGCTGGATGTTTCCTCTAGTGTAATTTCAATTTTATATGAACATTTGTATCAATCAGATATGGGAATTTTGTTTTTCTCATCAATTTGTGTTTATAAAGCAGAATTATTAGGTAGCCCAGAAGAGCTGTTTCTGCACTCTGTGTCCCAGCTGGGTGTATATAGGTAGCAGTTAAATGATATATGAGGGAAAAGATGTGAGTGTTTTGGTTTATTTCCCACTACTGGTAATAAACATTATGACATGGATAC